CAAGACTTGGAGCTGTGCTAAATGGCTACTTTGATTGAGGCAGTTGAATCCATGGGCTAAAATCCTACTGTGTAGTTATGCAAATAGTGTAACATTTAGAGGTAAACTGCCATAAAATCTGAAATCTTGCAAGCTGAATCCTGCAACTCAGTATACAAAAGATTAAGTCTACAGAGATTTTTTAAATTATGGAAATTCATTTCCAAAAGTTGTGTGGTTTGCATAAATGTGCAACAGGATTTCAGCCACTGAATCCTTTTCCACTACTTGTATGAGGTGTACAGGCCATCTAAGATGACCTCCTCAAATATGCATCTATATGGATGGACACCAAAAGAAACCACAGTATCTAGCATTGTGCCAGGAGCTGAAAGGAAAGTTCATATGCAACTGAAGATTATTTTAGACATGAATGTACATGCCCTTAATATCTCATGAATGGATTATTTGAGAACTGGTATACCATAGTTTAATTTATCAACAGACTTAAATGAAACACTTTGTGTTTGCAACACTATGAAATCTCTGGTAACGGTGTTGGACCTATGATGTCTCACTCACACATGGAAATCCCTCTTCAACCTTCCAGACACTGAGGGACAAACATGTAAACCCAAAGAAAACCTACTTCGACATTTAGGAACAAACAGTGCTTTAAGATATTGAGAATGCCTGCAGGGATTTCTCTCAAACCTGAGACAAAAGATTTAAGAATGGTTTTCAAAGTCAAACAGGGTTTATCTACACAGCAATATTTACTTCATCCCTGTCTCTTAGAAGAAGGGCACCATCAAGGCTGTAATGTGACAGTTGCTCAAGCACACACATACTTATTTTAATAGATGAGACATGCATTTTACTCAGATTCCTAATTTTTCCCAAGCAGTGGAATATAGATATGAGATATGTAATTCTTTTCTTGGTGCATATCATTACAAAATCATAGCAGTAGCCATTGCACTTTTCACCATGTCATTTGCTTTGTCAGTGTGACTTCCGTTCATACTAAATTATATGAATATAACATCACAGAATTGTAATTTTGTAAGATACGGGGAAGTAACAGTGACTGAAATGTTGCTCAACTTGCATTATCTGATTTGGCATAGTTATATAAGGATGGGGCCAGTGTATACAATAATTCTTGCATATTAGCTATCAATTATATGGAAGAATTAAATACAGGCAATGCTTCAGTCATAGTCATTATTTGTATACCACTTTTTCAGGATGCATGTCAAAACATGTCACAGTAAGTTAGCAAAAAAAGTGCTCACTCCCCCGCCCCCCAAAAAAAGTTTCCCAAATTTTGGGGGAAACAATTACTTTATCAAATGCTTAAGATGGCAATCCAAACAGGAGTTTAGCATGCTCAAACCTGCTGGAATCAATGGGCTTAAATAAAGTTAAATAGGTATGTATGTGCAAATATGGAACATGGAGCAGTCAAAATTCAATACTTTTCAATTCCCAATGTTCTCAACTGAAGAGATGAACACTGAGTTATTAACTCTGGCAGACTGTGCCCATGTAGATTATCTTGTTAGGTAAGGAAAGGCTCGCTAGTGTTTCTGTACCAAAAGGTTTCAGAGAAAACCTGGCTGTGGGAAAAAATAATGTCTTTACTTTTATCCAGGAAAAATAAAGAAGAGGAAAAAATTATTTTTTCTGAGCTAGAAAATGTGACAAAAAGCTTTGCTGTCAATATGAGGTAGTAATGATCTGTATTTGTGCCTAATGACTGAAGTGCTCAGTAACAAGATGAAAGTATTAGGTATCTATGCAAATCAGAACATTCTCTCTCTGGAGAATAAAACTCTCAACTCATGGGTATAAAAATGAGGTTTCATCACATAATTGCCCAGAAAGTACGAAGAGATCCTTGAAAAATATTAGACACATGCAAATACTGTGCAATCCAGCATTATTTCTTTGATTTTTCAGATATTTTGGTTATACAGTATTTAATTATCTTTGCTTGTACCATCATTACCAGTTGTATATTTTAACATTCTAATAAAACTAGAATTAAAATGATTAGATAATACGTTGGAAAATATATTAAATACCAGACTGTTCTGTTACGCCAGGTAGAAAATAGCATGTGTATATATGTAGCTAGAGAGAGAGAGAATCTGTAGCCAACTTTGGATCTTTCTAAAAAAATCCAGAGCTGTCAAATTCAAAGCAAGAGAGACAGGAGTGGAAGGGCAGCCCTGCATCAAATTCACATCACACTCTTCCAGACTCAGGCTTTGGAAAGGGGTACAGTAGGACACCCGTATCAATGGGGGATTGGTTCCAAGCCATCACCATCTGTGTGGATGCTGGAAACCGTGGACAATAGTGAATGCTGTGCATTGCATGGTAAAAGAAAAAAAAATAGAGAAAAAAGTACATCCCATGCACTGTATTACCAGAACTAGCCAATAGAGGGAGCCAGAGCCAATGCTATGTATTCTTTAACAAAAAATACACAGCATGGGTTCTAGCTCCCTCTAGTGGCCACTTCTAGTAAACACTCTAGTAAACACACTGTAAATATTATTATTTTTTTTTGATTTTTGCTTTCAATATTTTTAATTATTTTGGATCACAGATAAGTGAAACTGCGGATACGGGTACTACTGTACATATTTCTGATGGCTACCTACCTACTCCCAATAAAGAGTGGTTGAACCCACTCCCATCTGTTGTTACTTTTAAGAAGAATACATTATAGTAACATGCTGATGTTGGACTATAGTAAGATGGCACTTACTATGAGCATAATCCTGTATAGCTCAGATATCCTTCCTCCTTCAAAAACCTGACTCTGAGTTATGGCACCTAGAAGCAACACCTTTGGCACCTGTCTCCTACCTTATAAAAATACAAATAGCAAAGTCATCACCAAATAAGCACAAATTTGCATCGGAGATAAATATTCTAGTCTTTAAAATTTCCAACCAAGAATGAATCTGGAAGTACACACTTAGGCTGGAACAGCACTGACAAATATTTCAGAAGTGCTCCACAATTAGCACAGATGAATTTCAAATATTTTCCAATGATCACACAATGCAAAGGCCAATGCAAATCAGCCTGGTGATTTTTTTGCTTCTGAGTTTTTTCTCCTGCCACTGGGGGGGAGGCTCTGCTTTTTTTAAAAAAAAAGAAAGCTGGGACAATTCAAACTATTTTCCTTGTGTGGTAATTTATTTTGTTTTACAAAAAGATAGGGTGTGTGACACTTAAGTGGTGTTATCTCATTGTATTAATCTGAGGCATATTTTGGGACAGCAGAAAAATGCACCCCATCTCTCTAGAAGTCCTGAATTATTTTTAGTTTTTTTCCTAAGAAACAAACTACTAAATTCAGACTTAGATCACTTTTATCACTGCACTGATACATGAGTTTAGGATTAGATCACCTCTGCACAGGAGGGGGGGAGAGTAAGAAGAGCCAGGGATTGTTAGATGGGAGGCATCAAAGGAAGAGGGCCAGTGGACATAAAGTGGTGCCTCTACTTAAAAACATCCTGACTTACGACCATTTTGAGTTACGACCAGCTCCGGCCACAAAATTTTGCTTCGACTTGCGACCGGAGCTTTGAGTTATGACCGGAAAAAAGGTGGGGGAAAAGGCGGGGAATTTAAATTACTAACCGTTGGTCGGCAAAGAGGATGCTTCTTTGTAGCTCTTTCGCCCCAATGGTTAGAGAGTGTGCATTTGCAGAGAGGCTTTGGACTGCCTGGTGCTGCTTTCTGCTTCTGAATGAGTACATACAGGGTTTTGCAGTGTGGGTTTGGGCTGGGGGGTTATGTTTCTGTGCTGTGATTTTTTTGTGTTGCGTTGTGGTTTTTTTTTCCAGCCCCAATGTGTTCCGATGGGGTTTGCTGTGTTGTTGGTTTTTTTGGCGATTTTTTTTTAGCCCCAGCATGTTCCAGTGGGGCTTGCTCTGTTGTTTTGGGTGGGGGGGTTCAGCCCTGATGTGTTCCAATGGGGCTTGCATTGGTTTGGGGGGGGGGGATTTTTTTTCTGGCCCTGACACGTTCTGATGGGGCTTGCATTTTTTTTGGTTAATTTTTCCCCCCGCCTGGAACGGATTAATCGCATTCCAATGCATTCCTATGGGAAATGATGCTTCGACTTGCGACCATTTCAAGTTACAAACATCTTCTGGAACGGATTAAGTTTGTAAGTCAAGGCACCACTGTATATCAAATCACATTGGACTAAGCGACAATGTGGGTACTGGCTCTGAAACATTCCATGGTTCTCATGTGATCACCTAAACTGTAAAAAGAGATTGTGAATCAAGCCGCAGCAAAGCTAAATTGCTCCAATTTGGCATGCCAGTGTAGGTGCATGCTTATAGGCATCCTCAATTGGTCGATTTGAAATGCTACCAAACACACTAGAACCACGTTTGCATCTACTTCAGCTCTTATAAAAGCATCAAGTAGTCTTCATGGTCTAAAACTGACCATTTTCCTTCTTGTGTGTGTTTTTGTGGGGGGGGAGGGAGAGAGAGAGCGCTTTCAGAACTATAAAAATGAAAAGCAAAAAATGGCACATTCATAGAGGAGAGATCAGGGGAGGAAGAAAATAGGTGCTCCAATTATATGAGTCACTGGAAAAGTGACATTATTATATGCTACATTATTTTGTACCTCCCTAACTCAGAGTAAACAAGGCAGTAAGAAAGATAAAAGATCCTCTGTGCTTGTGTGTCTTGCAGACGCAACCATTGATGATTTAGAAACTTCAGCCGTCATTAGGGGAAATGGTCAGTTTGCAATTATGATGGGTTAATGACAATTTCAAACCAACAAATTGATTCAATCTGGATTACACTAACAAGGATGATATTTGAGAAAAAACTAGCCACCTCCATCTGATATGGCATAAACTAATTCTCTACTTTTCTCAGAGGGCCAATGCCTAGAGTTTGCAGCATAAACACACAATGTAGTTTATTTCTTGCAATATTTAGGAGAAAGCAATTCAAACTTACCACCACCTCCTCCAAGAAGACTTGAATTAGCTACAGAAGAAAAACAAAAGCAAGAATTACATTTCAAAACAGTAACATTCATTTCAATTTTTTAAAAACTATTATTTGATAACAAAGAAAAACCACTTATTTGATTGGAAGCCAATGTTCTTTCACAAAGGAAGACTTTACGATTCCAAAATTTAGTTTTAGCATGATTTAATTTTACCATGACACTCAGAACAATCTACAGCTTCTTCCTCTGAAAGTAAAATGTATCTGTAACTGACAACAACAAATTTAGTTACTCTTATTCAGATAAAAAGACCCTAAATACTTTGGTTCGAATCAGCCCCCTACTGGCTAGACATGATGCTATGAACTTCTTTTCCTCCGCTCCCACATCACGGACACCCACACACCACATCATCCTCTGTTGGAAAAGCTCCTTGGAACACGATTTTCCATCACAGGAAAGTTCCAGGTGAAGCTCTCCCATTATAAATGATGCCCTTTGCTGAGGATGTAACACGTACGCATTTTTCAACAGAAAACTATACAGTATTGTGAATTTCTTTTCTTTGCAGCATATGAACAAAAGGACCATCACCAGCCTTAGCAACACACCTATGTTTCTGCACAAAATGTATATTTTGCACAAAACGCACAAAAATATGCGGAAGCTCTTACAAAAGCTCTTGCCAAGCATGTAGAAAACTTTTGAAATTTTTTATTTCTCAACTTCAGAAATGAAATCAGCAAGGATTTATATCTTCTCCCTTTGCTGCCTTTCATGAGTTTTCTGTTTTCCAAGATGTGTCACTTGCATACCCTTGGTAGCATAAAATAAACCCTTAGGAACTGTTCTCTCCAGAAGAATCATGAACATTCAAATTTAATGCTAAAGGGTTCAGCTGATGACAGGGATGACTACAACATCCCTTCTCCATCCCTACATAAAACATGAGAACAGAATCTCCACATCACCTGTTTCACAAAGGCAATCCTTAAGGAGGATTTACCGGACATGAATTCAGAACTATCTAAATAGTGCAGATTAGGAATCACATTCTAATCCCAATTTTATCATCCCAGCCACTGACTCTTATTTTATTTGTTTGTTTGATTCACATTTTATGGTTCTTCTGAGGAGCTCAAGGTACTTCTCCAAATGCTATCATGGCAACAACCTTGTGTGGCAGAGCTGATGAAGCTATCCTAATTGTCCAAGGTTACACAGTCAACATCCATATCTGCAAATAGTCATGTATGAGCTTCACACATTTTGCATTCTATAACAGGTATAATACAGTATAGAAACCATTTTTAAATGTTATATTTTTCTTACAATATCAGTACTGAAAGATTTGTTTGAGAGACAGCATTATCATTTTTGCAGTGTCTCCAGAGACAACATGTTTGTAATGTTGTAAACAATATAAATGAACAGCATTGATTATTTACAGTGAAGAAATAGACATTTATCTACTTTTTAAATGCTATTTTTATTTCAGGATCATTGCTTCAGCATGCACCGGTGGATTTAATAAAGCAACAACAATTGACATGTTATGCAATTGAACATTTGTTGCTATACTACAATATACTTTAAAATTCAGTTTATTTATTTATTAAACACTACAGTATAAAACTTCTTCATCTGGGATGGCTGAAAAAGGAAGACAAGAAGATTTTTTTAAAAAAATCTCATCAATAAAACATCATAGAGAGGTGACAGCTGATGAGCAGAATACCAGCAATTTACAATACAGGGAAGTACATTTCCTCCTACATGTTTCAAGAGATATCTTTACCTGTCATTGGTATTTTGTTTGATCAATTCTCTCTCACACAGACATAACCCAGCCAGGACAAAATCAAGAGCAAAATATAACTGGTGAGCACAAGCAGTGCTCTTCAGAAGGCAGCAAAATAAAGTTATCTTGTTAACAAGAGACTGAGGCTACATCTTAAAAGAGTTTGCATGGTCTTAGCCATCTGCCATAAATATAATTAATCAAAATCACGACTGCAATGGATCGAGTTCCATGCAGGGTATTCTATTTTGCTTTGTTTTGTTTTCACGTGTCTTTTTTTCTTAGTCAATTTTCTTCCAACATACTATATAGGAAAAGATATAAGGTGGGTTAATATTGAAGGAAGGAAGGAAGGAAGGCAGGCAGGCAGGCAACAGATCACTCTGTGCTCAGTCTGAAAGAATGGTAATAATTGTGTGCTGTCAAGTTGATTCTGACTTATGGCAACTCTATCCAGGGCTTCTGAGGTACAGAATACTCAGAAGTGGTTTACCATTTCCTTCTTCTGTAGGCTCCCTGGGGCTGTGCAACTTGATCAAGGCTAAACAATCTGGCTCTTCTCCTGGGAGGTACGGTGAGGAATCAAATTCCTGACCTCTGGTTTTGCAGCCAGATACTCTATTTCACTGAGATATCCAGCCAGCTTTCTCAGTTTGTAGGGAGCAAGATTCAGTAAATAACAATGAGTGACATCCATTAATAGCTAGATAGTCATCCATGTGCCCCAAAATTTACAGTTTGGTTCATAGTCTAGGTCTTATCGGTGATATTCTGTGTATTTTACAAAGTGCATACAAAGGTATGGGGTTTCAGGTGTTGTAAACTTCAGTGGGATCTGCTGAAGACACTAAACACATACTTTTAGAAATAAAAACTGCTAAAGTATGAAGAAAAGGGAAGCCTGTGGTTTCTAACTACAGTACAACTGGTACATTGAAAATTCACAATACAGTCAATAAGAGATTCCACTTCTCATGATGGAATGCAGATAGTCCATCCTACAAAATTAACTCTTAAATCACTCCCAGATAATATTGGCACATTACCTTACGATGTTGCTTTGGAGATTAATTTATTTACCCATAAGATCCTAAGGGATTCACGCATCTGAAAAAATCCACACTATTACAATTAAGTTTAAAAGCATAAAGGTGTTGTGGAACGTAAAAGTAACTTCAAAAAACAAAACTAAGGTGGATCCAAACAATTGTCAAAAAAACAGGAACCACAAGATACATCTACATAGTGCACGTTATTGTTGTAGGATTCTGACCACTGTGTACACATTTAACTGAAGAGAAAGGGTTCTTTATTTCTGAACAGATATTAGGGTGCTCTATCAGTTCTGAACAATATTCATCATTGAGGTGGCTTTCAACTCTGTTCTCATGAAGTGGAGGCTCACGCTGCCACCAGCGGCTATTTCTGGACCTTAAAAAGACATCATTCTGAGATTTTAAGAATTGCTACAGGGCAGACTCAACAATACTGGATTAATAGTCAACTAGAATTATTTTTATAAATACAGGGATAATCTTTCTGCATCAGAATATGTGACCGGTTGTTATACCCTCATAGCTTTATTTGTAATGCTACCCTAGGACAGGAGGTGATGTTTCATATGTTGGTGGACTCCAACTCCAATAAACCCCATCCAGCATTCCCAATGGGTCTGAGAAGATGGATGGGCCACAAGTAATCCACTGTAACCACAGACACTGTTTGAAATCAGCACACAAAGGACAACATTCTGAAGAGCCCCATATGTATGTTGATTAACCATAACATAAGCATCACATCTTAAGAGCCAATAATAATATTCAGTCACAGCCCAAGGCACAACAGAAATGCTCTTCTCTTGAAATGAAACAAACTCTACTAGGCCTCTTCCTCATTCCGATATCTGGGATTAAACAGTCTTTGATTTTACCAATGAATCAGACCTGGGAAAAACAAAGGAAGTTCCATCATTTGTGTGGAGCCTGAGTTTCAAAAAAGATTTCTATGAAGACCTTGCTGTCCATGAACTTACTTGGTTACCTTTGGAGAGACTCCACAGGCAGCTGCTGTACAGGGTCTAGCTCCTGAGCACAAGAAATGTGGAAAATGTATCTCCACACTCAGTATAACAGAGTTGGAAGGGGGCTATAAGAATAAAAGGTTTTATGGCGGTGGGGAACACAGTTAATTTGTATTTTGGTTTATGTATTTTATGTTTATGTTATAGTTAAAACAAAAAAAGTTTAAAAAAAGAATAAAAGGTTTTGAGCAGAAGCTGGGCTTCAGAATTAAAAGGAAGTCATCAATCTTAGACACTGACTAAACATGACGATGATGCACAACCCTTCTCAACAGATGTTGCACACAGATAATACCTCATGCTAACTCTCTAACGAGACTACACAACACTGTCAGCAGCTCTATGTGAACCTTCACTTTCCTGTAGGATGCATTCCATTGTTCATAATTCATGTAATAACTGTTCAACTTAGTACTAAAGTATTTTGAGTCTGGGTGTAGATATTTCTTTTTGGCTTGATGTACAAATCTGAGAAACGTCACTGGTGTTTCTCCAGTATTTACATTATTTAGAGATACAGATGAATTGCATCCAATGGTAAGCAACCAGATTTCAAGTTAAGTGACAAGGTTTCCTTCCTACAGACCCTCAAATGAGATCCTGAAGGTCCTGCAACCATCCAGACCATATTAGAGAAAGCTGAAGGCCATACAAGAGTGGAAATTCAGCTGGTCAGCAGTGAATTTCCAATGGTCCAATGTGTAGCCTGCATAATTAACTTGTAAACCGCCCAGAGAGTGCTTGAAGCACTATGGGGCGGTACCTAAGCAGCACACTTTGCTTTGCTTTGCTTTGAATGTTCCACTGTGGGAAGGGAACAGCTGGATATAACTTCAGCTTACTATTCACAGGATGATACTCCAACAGCTCCTTTCTTGATTTTGTTCCCCTCACAAGGCAGAGAAGGATGATTGCTAACAGAGTAAACATTTATAGTAAGATGACAAGAGAGAGAGAGAGAGATGATTCTCCCAACCTTAAAATATCCATTATACAACAAGGAAGGAAAAATAGTGCATGGATGGATCAAGTCTTCTACTTCCAGAAACTACAGTGAACAGTCCCATAAAAAGCTGTCCAGACAGAGACCGCCCATTAAAAATAAGTCACGTAACCCATCCCAGCCTGGAAAATATCCTTGTACTCTTACTCCC